AGGATCTCCAACGCTTCATAGCTGCCGTGATCGCATACATCTCGCGACTATAAGCCGAAGCGCCTTGATAACGAGGCGGTAACTTTTTGCTATAATAGGCTATCGGGTGGCCTTCCTGCGACAGAATAGCGCCAACTGCGCTTCCTGAAGCGTCAGTTTCCACCGTAAATGGTTGGCTAAAATCTGGAAGACGGAGCACTGGAACACTAGTCATAGCATCTTTCAAGTCGCAGAAGGACTTATCCGCAGCAGACCCCCACGTGAAACCCCCTTTTTTAAGCAAGTCTGTTAACGGTCCAGCAATAGAAGCATACCCACGCACAAACCGTCTATAATAACCGGTAAGTCCAAGGAACCCCCGTACCTCAGTTATCAACCGCGGCTTGGGCCAATTCTCCACCGTTTGAATCTTGGATGGGTCCACATGAACGCCATTCACCGACACGAAATGGCCAAGGTATTCCAGCCTATTCTGACCGAATTCGCACTTGGAAAATTTTGCATAAAGTTGGTGCTGGCGTAAGACTTCTAGGACAGCCCGAAGATGACGAATGTGTTCAGGCATGGAACGACTGTAGACCAGGATGTCATTGATGAACACTAGGACAAATTTTCGCAGGTACGGTTTGAAAACCGCGTTCATAGTGGCTTGAAACGTTGCCGGCGCATTAGACAACCCAAAAGGCATCACGAGGAATTCATAATGGCCTTCATGAGTTCTAAAAGCGGTCTTGGGAACGTCCGGTGGATGAACTCGTATCTGAAAATATCCACTACGCAAATCCAGTTTCGAGAATACTGCTGCCCCATGTAACTCATCTAGCAACTCATCCACGGACAGCATTGGGAACCGGTCACTGACGGTGATGGCATTGAGTGCCCGATAGTCAACACAAAATCGCCAAGTGCCGTCTTTTTTTTTTTTTAACCAGTAGAACCGGCGAAGAAAAGGGGCTGGTGGACGGTTGGATGATGTGTTCTTGTAGCATTGCTTGTACCTGGCGCTCAATTTCGTCCTTCTGGAAGTGCGGGTAGTGATATGGCCGAACATTTACTGGCTTTGAGTGGGGTAGAAGGGTAATGTTATGATTGGAATCTCTATTTGGTGGTAACCCTTTAGGGATGCTAAAAACATCTGAAAACTGGTTCAGGAGATCGTGTACGTCGTGATGGACCCCCGGGAAGGAACTTTCAGGGTGGGTTGTTTTTGGAAGTAGTAGGAAACACTGTGATATAGCTTTAGTTTGGGAGAGTCTCGTCAACTGGTGGCAGGTGACCGCCGTAGTGCCAGGCGTGGCCGTGCCTTCCAACTTGACCCGCTTCCCCTTGTATTCAAACTCCATCGTCAAGTTTTTATGGTCTGTAACAATACGCCCTAGTCCTTCCAACCAATGAACACCAAGAATTGCATCCGCACCTGAAAACTCCAGGACGTGAAAATCAGCTTCGAACTCAGCGCCTTGCATGACAAATGGCACAGTCAAACACATCCCTTCGCTCTGGAGCCGTTCACCATTTCCCACTGAGACCATAAAGCGTGTCATTTTGTCTACCGGAAGATGAAGATAATGAGCTAACCTCGGCTGTAGGTAGTTATGGGAGCTACCAGTATCGATCAACACGGTAAATTCCCGTCCGTCTATGCTAGCTGCCAACCGGAAAGTTCGCGGACCTGGGGTACCGCCCAAAGCATGCAGTGAAATCTCTGGAACCTCTGGTACCGTGGCTTGCTGCTCAACGCTCCCGTCTACGTCGAATGTTTCGGGGTTTTCTTCCTCACCATTAGCGTCAATTTGATCATCGGACAAGAGCAATAAAAATGGTTTTGTTTGGCACCGGTGACCCGGCCTGAACCGTTCGTCACAGTTATAACACAATCCCTGTGCTCGACGGGCTTGGAGTTCGGCAGCTGTCATTCGCTTGATCGGTAGGGATGTTCTGGAGTTTGCGTTCTGGTTCGCGGGACCCGGCAATGGTAGCAATGGCGATGTAGTAGGAGGGCGAGAGGCTGGCGGGTTGTTGGGTTCGTGGTTGGGATACCTCCAAGAAACTGGTTTCGGGTTGAAGAGTCGTGTATCACGATGTTTGTCTTCGACCAATTTGGCCATGGCGATAGCATCGCACAGAGTAGGGGGTTTGTAGATAGCTAACTCGCCCTGAATCGCGGGCTTTAGACCAGATATGAAACAATCAAGTAAAGCTTCGGGAGGTAGGTCGGTAACCCGATTACTAATGGTTTCAAACTCGGAATGGTAAGCTGCAACAGTAGTTTTCTGGGTGAGCTTGAACAGTGTCGCCCGGTGGTTCACATACGAGGAAGGGCCGAAGCGTTGTTCAAGAGCTGTAGCGAACGCCCTCCAAGAGGACAATTGCTGGTTTCGATGCATCCATTGGAACCACGAGAGAGCTTGTCCAGTCATGCAGAAACTTGCAACATCTAACTTTTGTTCTTCTGCAACCTCCCACAGGCTAAAGTATATGTCAGCCTGAAATATCCAGTCCAACGGATTGGTTCCGTCGAAGGTAGACAGATTGCAACGGGGAAGCCGTGGTGGTGCCGTGCCCGCGTTTTGGCCTGCCGTGAAGGGGTTGGCGCGCTGGGTCGAAGTTGACGCGGCCGGTGACCCCGGGGCTTGATTGATCCGTAGTGCCAAGTCTGCCACTGCAGTATGTAGAGCCTCGATGAGAGCCCGGTTTTGGACTGCCAAAGCTTGCCGAAACTCCTCCGTGGCTTGTTGGTGGGCCTCATGAAGCTGTCCGATCTGCTCCTCCAAAGCTCGGTGACGGGTCTGCGCTCCGTCGTTGGTCATGTTGGCCACACTCAACGAGAGCACCAAATGTTAGGGAACTTTTTTGGTTGTTTGTATTGCTGTTATTTTCCACTTTCGAGGGTGGAGACCTCCAGAAAAGAAACTATAGAGAGAGAAGAGAGCACCAGAAGAAGATGAGAGAATTTCTTAAATCCAGGATGATGTCCCTTCATTTTATTTCTACTTTATATATACAAGCTAATGTTAACAAACTTCCTACTAAACTGCCTACAGTTACTAGTTTTTATTTAATGACCAGAATAAATGAAAATAATTAAAGACAAAGTCCAAAAGCTATAATTTAGGAACAGACATAGTCATGCAGCTTGAGAGGTGGTCGTGTGATCCTCTTTTTGTGTAGATGGTCTGACTCCTTCTCTGTAACAGCGAGAAAGATGATGATGATGAAAAAACAACAACCGATTTGGAGGTTGAGACAACGTGGTCGCCGATTATGGCTCCATCCCCAATCCAGACATTAGCACTGCAGGCGGATGATGATGATGATATGAATTCATACTTGGTTGGTGTTCCCATGGAGACATTAATCGTTCCAGCGAAGACAACACCGGCGGCCGGGGATATGGATAGGGATCACCACATCAGTTCTAGTGTTCCGGTAGAGACTTTACCTGAACTCAGTTCCAGTTCGTTTATGGATTTTATATGCAATATGGAAGATGTAACTAGGTTGATACATTTTGATTTTGATGCCTGAGACATCATTATTCAACCAAAATTGTTTCCTTTTTCTAACTATACGTAATGTCTGTTTTTGCTTAATTTGCACAATGTGAATGCCAATTAAATTAACATAGAGACTGTGAAGGTGATAAATCGGATCTTAGAAAACATTGAACCAGACAGGCCAAGGTTGGTTCACTTGGTTGGGATTGGTATCAGTAGAATCATGTGTCAAAGCTCTGTTTGGTAATATTCCCCAAAATAAATTAAAGTCTACGGGAAATGATTAGTATGCTCATTTGAGTAAAATTATTGATCTATCCCTAATTGAAAATTCTTAATCCCACTTGTATTAATAGGCATTAACTGTCAGCCTCCCTTATTGCGAATGCGAAGTCACAATTTTACCCATTAGCATGCATGACATCTCAAAATACAACACTGTTATCATGGATCTCCCTTTCTTGTCTTTATTAGCCTTTTGTGCATGATACGCACTACATTAATTTTTATTTAAGTGCTTAGCACTATGATAGGTTTTGTTTGCCACGTCTAATTGAAAAGCCTATTGAAATTTTAAGGGCAAATTATGTCCTCAACCCGGGCCCAAAACGACGTCGTTTTTAAAAAAAACGCGTAATTTAGTAAAAAAAAAAAAAAAAATTCGCGCGCGTTTTGTCGTTAACGGCGTTATTTTTATTTTTTATTTTTGGATTATGAATGTACAGTTATGCCGTTATGAATGTACAATTATGCCGTTATGAATGTACAGTTATGCAATTATGAAATTATGAACATAGAACTCTAACATTATGAACTTACAATTATGAACATATATAGTGATAAAATTATGACCATGGAGCTTTAAAATTGTGAATATAGAGCTTCGAAGATTATGAATGTACAATTATGGAGTTATGAATGTACAGTTATAGAGTTATGAATCTACAGTTATGGAGTTATGAATCTATAGTTATGAGATTATGAATATACAGTTATGGAATTATGAATGTACAGTTATTGATCGAATTATGAACAAAGAGCTCTAACATTATGAACTTACAATTATGAACATATAGTGATAAAATTATGAACATAGAGCTCTAAAATTGTAAACATAGAGCTTCGAAAATTATGAATGTATAATTATGGAGTTATGAATGTACAGTTATGGAGTTATGAATTTATAGTTATAGAGTTATGAATGTACAGTTATAAAGTTATGAACGTACAGTTATGGAGTTATGAATGTACAGTTATTAACATATAGTAATAAAATTATGAACATATACTCCTATAACGAAGCGGTCTGAAATTAAAAAAAAAAAAAAAAAAGAGAGAGAGAGAGAGAGATAACAGTGCCTAACGGCACTGTTACCCGTGTCCAGCAAGCATGCTGGACACGGGTCCAACGCATAACGATTGAATTTTAAGGGTGAAAATTTTGTAATTAATAAGCTAACTAATTGAAATTAAAGTGTTTGGTAATATTAATTGTTGAATTAGTTGATAAGTGTAAAAAAAAAAAAAACATAAAATGATAAACTAAGATATTTAGATTTTGATTAACTAGTAATTCACCCGCGCGATGCACGGGGAAAAAATTATGTTATTATAAATATAAATAAAAAAATAGAAAAACTAAAAATATTTTAAATTGTTTAATATAATAATATTTTTGAGCTTCTATTGGTCAAGTATTTATTATTTTTATAGAATACAAAATTATAATTAAAATTTTGTATGGTTAATATAATCTCTAATTATGTACATATTCAAATAAACTTATAGAGAGAATTTTCATAATTACATTGATTTATTCTTAATTGTATTTCATCTATATTATAATTTTCTCAATACGAATAATAACTAAGATAATTACATTTAGAAAGTAAATTTCAAATTTTGTATGAATAATTTAAACTCTAATTGAACACATTTTTTTTATATGATTATATAATATATTCTTTATGCACATGGCATTCCATAAACTCAAATGTCATTTTATAAGTCCAAGACCACTTTTTGTGGAGATAATTCAAAATGTATTTTTTTTTTCTTTTAAAAGTCCTATGATTAGACATCCAGAAAAACATTAAAGACCCATACGATATATACATTTATATATATTTAAATTTTTATTTATGGCTTAAGTGATTTTTTTTATTTATTTCTGAAGTCCAATAATTGACCCACAGTCCGCAACATTTGTTTTCTTCATCCCTTCTTGCTTTTGCCATTTCTTTGAAGCATTTGAGATGGAGAAAAATTATATGTAGAGGCTTGCATTAATTGCATTGTTTCAGATATTGAATAGGCTTTCATCGAAAATTTAATTAATATTGTAATCCCAAGAACCACCATAAATAACAAAGGCATATCAAATAGACTTTCATTGTAAAGCCAGAGATTTAACTAATATTGCATCGTTTCATATTTTATATTAATCGGGAATCGGAATCCTTAAACCTAATATCATAACATTTAATAACTCCATTAATTCAATAAATGTAATCCTTTGTTATGGGCGAGAAAAAAAAATAGCCATTTTATTTTTCAAATGTTGTGCTTCTTTTTTTTTTTTTTTTTTTTTTAATAGTAAAAGATGTTGTGGCTATTTTATATTTATAGCTAGTAATAATAATAATGTTGGTAATTAATTGTAACATTAATTATTTCCCAACCATATAGCTTTATTATATGTAAGATGAAGACGGAAGAGTAGATGATATGTCATTTTTATAAATTAATAAAAATTGAAATGAATAACAAAAGTTTAAAAAAGACAAAAAAAAAAAAAAAGTTAAATATATAAACGGCAAAACATGTTTACTAACAGTGTCATTCTCACGATCAATTTCACATTAATCATTGTCAATTTCATAATCACAATAGCTAATCCATCCCCAATATCTGCTGTGTCACACATATTTGTCAAATTTGTACCACATCTCTACCAAAAACAACAGGAAAATTCCTACAAACATACTGCAAAGAGCTTCATAAAACACACAACAATTTATAGTAACAAGTAAATAGTACATGTGATACGCACAATTTAATAGATATTTGACACTCACATTTAAAATGTGTGCTCCTGTTTTTGGGTTGATATACAGACTTATAAATATAATCATGGTTAGAAGAAAATAAATTATCAGCTTATATTCACATATTTAAAAATAGAATAAATTTAAAGTAGAAAAATGACCAAATTAAAGTTGATATTCACAGACTTAAATAAGAATCAAAGTTAGAAAAGAATATTGACATAATTAATAATAGAATCAGAGATGCTATTTTCATAACCTTCCAAACGGCCTCCAAAGTCTTCCAAACTGTTATTAGCAGTCTTCCGAACTGCCTTGAGGTTATTATAACAGGTTTCTATGGCTTTTCAAAGCGCCCGCAGATGAGAGAGTCGTGGGATCTTATTCGTTCGTTAGCTAACAGATCGGATCTTCCGTGAGTAATGATTGGAGATTTTAATGACCTCTTATTTCAGTATGAGAAGCGAGGAGGAAACCCCCATCCGGACAGTCTATTACGGGGATTTGGGGAAACTATTGAGGATTGTGGCTTAATGCAGCTGCCAATGTCAGGGTATCCGTTCACTTGGGAGAAGGGGAAAGGAACGCTAAACTGGATAGAGGAACGATTGGACAAAGTTTTGGCTACCCAGAGTTGGAAGGAATTGGTGGCCGATGCAAGTGTACAGAATATTTTAACCCGAAAGTCGGATCATTCTACTCTTTTCCTTGGGATTCTGAATCTTCGGCAAAGGAGGGGTGGTTAGAAAAGAGGGTTTCGATTTGAGATGGCATGTCTGCATGATGAGGGGTGTAGAGATGTGGTGGAAAGGTCCTGGGGTGAGGGAAGGGGTAGGGGTTTGCAGGAGTGTATCTCATTTTGTGGTGATCGGTTAACACACTGGGGTAGAGACCGGTTCCATAAATTTGGGGAGCAGATAATGACCCTACGGAAGGAACAGTTGCGCCTCATGGGGTGTACGGACCCGGTGTCTTTAGCTGAGTTTCAAAGATTGGACGAGTGCTTATCTGGTATTGAATTGCAGGAAGATGCTTATTGGAGGCAGAGGGCCAAGCAACACTGGATCAAGGACGCGGACGCGAACACGAAGTTCTACCACAGGTATGCTTCTCATCGTAACAAAAAGAATACTATTACTAGAATTATGAATGAAGGTGGGGATTGTATTGAGGGGGATGCTATGAGGAATGTTATCTTGAGTTACTACCGTGATATTTTTAGCTCGAATTCACCTGTTGTTAATGAAAATTTATTTGAGAATATACAACCACGGGTAACGGATGCTCAGAATGTGGCGCTATTGAGGCCCTTTGAGGATACTGAGGTTAAGGCAGCGCTGTTCTCGATGTATCCAGATAAGGCACCGGGGCGTGATGGGATGAATCCGGGATTTTATCAGCACTTCTGGGATGTGGTGGGTAATGATGTGTCCTCTTATATTGTGAATTGTCTAAACACTAAGTCGTTGCCTACTAATTTGAATGATACAAATATCATTCTCATTCCAAAGAAGAAAAATCCGGAGATGGTTTCTGACTATAGACTAATTGCATTGAGTAATGTGATTTACAGGGTGATGGCAAAAGTTATCACGGCCAGAATGAAACCACTAATGGGGAGTATTATATCTGACTCTCAGAGTGCGTTTATATCTGACAGACTAATTACGGACAATATCTTGATAGCTGCGGAGGTTGGCCATTATTTAAACAGGAAGCAATATGGTATAGCAGGATGTGGGGCTTTGAAACTGGACATGGCGAAAGCCTATGATCGTATGGAATGGTCATTTTTGCGGAAAATGCTTCTGTTGCTGGGGTTTGATGATAGATGGGTGGAGCTATTAATGATGTGTGTGACCACAGTATCTTACAGTGTACTAGTGAATGGATCACGAAGCAGTCAAATCATCCTGACTCGTGGTTTAAGGCAAGGTGATCCCCTTTCGCCACCAAGCTCTGGATTTTTGCTGCTATCCTTGTTGCTCCATGGTAATATATCAGAAATTATCTAATAGTAACGCCATGAGGGAGGTACTCCAGTACTGATAACTTGTGCTCACTCTCGAACATGGTTTTGATTTTGCAAAAAGCACTTTTCCCCTAAGCACTTGCTCCACGCAAATTATTGAAAGACATATAATTTTATCAATATGTAACAAAGAATTTGTATTAATATAAATTGAATGATAGAGAGCAAAAAAGATGTTCTCTGAAAAGGTTTTTTTTTTTTTTTTTTTCAAAAAAAAAAAAAAACATGGCAAACAAATAATCAGGAAAACGCAGACCACAATGGAGTAATTACGAAAAAAAAAACTAAACAAGAAAAAGTAAATCAAAAAGGCATTCAATTACAATAGAAAAATGATGTGGCACTGTCTTCTCTGATTGACCTTAGCTTGTTTCATCAAGCATACAAACATTCTAAGCTAACTATGACTACAAAAACTAAAGCTTTTAACATTTTCAAAACATTGGCATCACAATTTCCCCCTTTATCAATTGTGAATTAACTTTCTCCAGTTCTATTAATTAATTAAATTAAAGCATACAACGTTTTGTCAAACACGAATACAACACAATTTTTTACATTATTGTATTAAATTAAATGTAAAATTCACCACATAACCACAACATAAATACAAAAAAAAAAAAAAAAAAAAAAAAAAAAAAAAAAAAAAAAAAACCCTTAACCCACTGACATACATTTAGAATTAAATTAAAAAAAAGAACTATTTAAAATAAACAATAGAATATGAAACAAAAATTAACCAATCAAGTAGCTAGAAACAAAATAAATAAATAAGCACCTTTCAAATATGCATAGATTTTAATCACAAAGTATCCCATTGTAATGTAGGTATATGTATGGTTATAGAGAGATCGATGAACTAGTACATAGTCAGAAGAAGGTTTGGACGTGAGGAAATTATACATACATGAAGACACAATTTGAAACTAAATCACATGAGAGAAGTAGTGGAGGAGGGGGAGACTAGTGGAAAGTATTTGGGTTTGCCCTCGCTAGCGGATAGGAGGAAAAAGGCTATTTTGGGCTTTTTGAAGGAACGAATTCTGGCCAGGATTTGGTCATGGAATTCTAAGTTTTTGTCCAGAGCAGGTAGAGAGGTTCTTCTAAAGAATGTAATTCAGGCAATGCGGACATATGCAATGATGGTTTTGTTGTTACCCCTTGGGCTATGCCGTGAAATTCAGAATATAATGAACCAATATTGGTGGACCGGCAGAGTTGGGGGTGGTCGTGGAATTAAATGGCGCTCATGGGAAGGTTTGTGTAAACCCAAAGCTGTTGGTGGGATGGGTTTTCGCCGCTTACATGAGATGAATAAAGCTCTTCTCGGGAAACAAGCTTGGAGGCTGATAACTAGACCTGCTAGCCTGGTGGCACGAGTGTACAAGTCTCGGTACTATCCTAGTTGTGATTTTTTCGATGCAGGAGAAGGGAATAATCCGTCCTATATCTGGAGGGGTATGATGGAGGTGAAGAGTTGTCTGAAGGAGGGTAGCAGACGGGTGATAGGCGATGGAAATGAGACTTTGATAGGCCCGGATCCTTGACTACCTGTTGATGTAAACCCCTATGTGGAGTCTGAGCTGCACCAGTTGGTATATGATGCCCCGGTGTCCTCTCTCATGAACATGCAAGGTAATGGTTGGGATGTGGGTTGCGTGAGGGATATTTGTGGTGCTCGCGATGCTAACTTGATTTTAAATATTCCTCTCAGTATTAGGAAGCCTCGGGATCAGTGGTTTTGGAATTGGGACCAGAAGGGTGCTTACACTGTTAAGTCATGTTACAAGCGGCTTACTATGGTGGTTGCAGATGATCGCCCGTGGTCCAAAGTTTGGAATCTTCACATTCCGCCGAAGGTGAAAAACTTCTGCTGGCAGTTAGCTTCATCTTACCTCCCTACCTGTGACATTTTGATGACTAAAAATGTTGCTTGTGCGTTGAATTGTCATATGTGCAGAGATGTAGAAGAGTCTGCCCTTCATTTGTTTGTTTATTGCCCTCAAGTAACACGCATCTGGAATAAGTTGGGGATGCCGCATATCAGTACCTATGAAGGTAATCATCTTGGTGACTAGTTTTTTAAGGGTATGAATTCTTTGAATGTTAGTCTATTGCTTAACTTTGTAATGGTTCTGTGGGGTGTGTGGTGTAGCCGAAATGACAGCGTTTGGAAGGGTGTCGTTTTTGATTTGAATGTAGTGGTTCAGAGAGCTTTGTTGTTTCTGGATAGTTGGAGGACTGTAAATGAGGCGTCACCAGGTCAGGACACACATGTGGCCGTGACTCGATGGACGAAACCTGCTCAGGGGCGACTGAAATTGAATACAGACGCAGCGATATGTGAAACTAATAATGTTATGGGTTTTGGTTGGGTACTCTGCGATGACAATGGGAATTTCTTAGCGGCCAAGAATATGTTATTGCCTGGGGTCTTTATGGTGAAAGAAGCTGAGGCTTTGTGCATCCGGGAAGCTTTGAGTTGGTTGAAGATTACAGGTATGGGCTCCGTGGATGTAGAGATGGATAGTTAGGTTGTTTATCATGCAATTGGTTCGCCAGCTTTTAATTCTGCTTTTGGTTTCATTGTCGATGATATTAAAAATTTAGCGTCGGAGATAGATGATGTTAAATTTTGTTGTGTTAAGCGATCTACGAATTGTGCCGCTCACTCTGTTGCTAGGGAGGCCTTTTCTGAGTCAAGTTGCGGGGAGTGGTTTGACTCTCCACCATCTTTTCTTGTAAACGTTATTCTGGGTGATTCAATGAATTAATCTTTCGTCTTCAAAAAAAAAAAAAAAAAAAATTTAAAAAATGTTGTAAGAATATTAGAATAGACAAAGAGAGGAGAGGGAAGGTCGAGATTCTCATTCATCATGCAGAATACTTATACAAAGGTATTACAAATATAAGGTAATGAATACATATAAAAGGTAGTAACCTTATCAGTTACAACTACTACCATATATATAATAATGTCCACATTAATAATATTTATAACACTCCCCCTTGGACATTATTTGACATGATCTTGCTTCTTCAAAACTTGCAAGGAAAACCCTGTGGGAAAAACCTAGACAAAATAGTATATATGTATATATTCATGCCTCGTTAAAAACTTCACTAGTTCACTAGTTAAGACCCAATCTTTAGGATTGATTCATGTAAAATGATACTCCCCCTCAAGATAACAATCTTTAATTCCCATACATTAAATTTCCAAACTGTATAGAGGGATTTCGTAAATAAATATATACAACTGTCATTTGAATAAATATACTCTATAATAATCTTGTGACTCTTCTGGAGTTCACGTGGTATAATATTGATATCATAATATCTAGTTAAAAGGATTTCATTATATATCCTTGTATCATTTGTGCAACACAATCTTTATTGACCCTTTATGGGATAATGGGGGTAAATATAGTACAGCCAGTTTTGGGACTTGGCAATATGGGGATACAAAAATAATAGCCAGTACCCAAGTAGCCCATTGTATATTGGTTTGTCTAAGTATCCAATCAAAATCATATATTGGTTAATTGGTGTATACAAATTTCTTCAAAGAAAAACTCGATCTTCAAGTCGAGATAATACTTAGCTTTCCCAAGCTTTTGTTTCAAAATCTCCGTCTTTAGATATGGGCTGACATCATCAAGCCCTTTATATATTTCATTGATGTTTTCCACCATCAATATTGACTTAGATAATAAATAATAAATAAGTTCATTATTAACCCTTTATCAAGCACACAATGGTACATATTATTCCTTCAATGAGGATATTAACTCCATTCGCAACCCTTTAAAGAGTAAATATAATGACACTTAAATTCTCATTTCAGGAATTATAAATCCATCAGGAATTTCTCAAAATAAATATTAACTATTTCAGGTCCTATAAAGACCTTAATATTTTAATGTGCGATTTTCACTTTTTTTTTCTCATTTTGAGAACTTAAAATCCTTCGGGGACTTTTGAATTTAATATTAGTTGCATATCTAATTTATTATTCTGCCAATGATGTAGCGGAACTTAATGCCATTTATCGTGGGAAAATATGTTTGATTAAAATCAATCAAGGGTATCTGCGTGAACCCATAAGACTACAAACTTGCTTTATATCATATCACCTCATTATTCTTATTTCTCTTTCGTGCACACACCCACTTGTAATCTTCGGGGTTAACTCTCAACGGTGTATTGTTATAAAGAGAATTATTAACAATTAGCGAGTCGAGCTATGCCTTAATTGCTCCTTTATACGTTAAATAGTCATGGCACTTCCGGTGCATAACTTTGGATCCAGATTATCATATAATGGAGCAATTTGTACAGGCTATTGTGTTGTTGACAACTATAATACTTTCATAAATCTCTCCCATATTTATAATTGTTTATGGCAATATTTAAGTCAACCAGATTCTAGACATTTCCCAGAACTTATTCAAATCACATCTGGTTGTCTCGCATCCCTAGTATTATGTTTGTTTGGTGCACCTATAAATTGACTAGGGTTTTTCGTCATCTGGACGAACGTCTCCAAGACATAATTATTCAAGGTATATCAAGAGTGACAATGTTTATTTACTAGATCTAGTATAATGATTCTTATCTCTTACACCGATAGATCTCCTACACTTCTGGCATCAATGAGTATTGATAGATATATTTTGTCCAAATTGGGGATGGTATATGGACCTAGTCACTCTTTTATGATCAGTATGATCAATAGATGTATTTGGCATATTATTTGCTAATATCGCAAATATATCATCTTCTGAACTTTCAGTTCAGTCTAACTAGTACATGGATTAAATAATGAAGATATTTTTATTCTATGGAATTTCTTGGCATTCTATTAAATTTGAACTCTTACCTCCCCCTAATGCCGAGAAACAATCTTCATTAATTAAGTATGCAGTCAGCGTACCTAATGATATGTATATTAGTCTCCTATCATGTGCTCTTGGCATTAATTAATCAAGAGACTAAGGCTTCTTTGGTAGCCTTTTTAGAGGTACGTTGTAGTGGTGATATATTAAAATAGACTGCGCACTATAAATAATAACGCAGATAGGGAAATGTTTATTTTGAAAACATGTACTAGGTATAACAATCATAACAATCCTTGAGGGATTGGTTTGTGATATTCAGTGAGTTAGATTTGGATTGCAAACAAAAGTATATCCCCAAAACAGATAATTGAATAATTTTTCCTTCACACATGCTCTATAAAATACTCATGTGGATAAGAAATTGTAATATCTAACTCATTATGTTTGCCCTCAGTGACCCAATTGGTCATGCCATAATTAAAAATTGGATCTCTAAAATGTAAAGATTATCGCAACACAATAAGTTCTCAAATGTATATAAGATTTTCCACAAGTGCCATATAAAATCATATAGGGCAAAGCATACACATTGAACAAAATGAGTGAAACATTCGACAATCTTAGGGAGATTAAACGTCAAAAGAAGTATAGATGTTGAAAAATTATCAAATATTAACAATTTGTTTGCTTCAGGCAAACCAACATGATGTGACTCACTTTTGGCAGTTAAGCACATAGCATTTTTGCATAGTAGCATATCATTAAAAATAGAAGTTGCAAACTTCATTCACGAGTCATGAGTCATTGGTCACTCAAAGAACTACTACTGGAGTATAATGTGACTCATAAATGACATGCAAGATAACGAGTGACAGATAAATTAACGTTCTAAGTTTACCGTCTATGCAAAGCTATATTAAAAAAAATTAGGTACTATCCTGACGGTAAATATGTTACCGGTAATAATAATATTAGAATAACGGATTGTAACAATAGATGTATTGCCTTAGTCTCCTCAGTGAGCCTAAACCTTTAGTTCAACATCATCAATGGTGGCTTCAATGACAGTAAAGGAGGCACCTGTTGGAATTCTGTCCGTTGAGGTTCTGCCCTTGGTTTCCACGTGGTGCCGGGTAAAATATAACGCCGGGTCGGATGCCCACTTATGATCCGGGTTGGGTGCCAGCCCTATTATCCTGTCACCAGTCCCACCCTACTCCTGAGTCAACGGATGTGTTTGAGTTGACTTGGGAGTAAGGCTGAATCTATCTTGATCCTGTGCAGAATCCTGATTGATTTAGAATATGTAATTTTATTTTCCAAATCCCTGATTTATGCTTTCCAAATCCTTTCCTACTTCTAAAGATATTCACTTAACTTTTTTATCGCAAACTCCTCTCCAATATAAACCCTTGCTTCTGAGCAGTTGGGGAGCACCTCTTCATCAACTTCTGCCACCGCTCTGTAAGTCTCCGCTATCATTACTTATTTTATCGTTACGATTTATTTATGAATTAATATATATGCATATACATATATACACATGTCTGTCCCCTTTTCATTTTTTTTTTTTGCGACCGAGGCGTCGCCTCAGCTGGCCGAGGTGCAGCTCCTCGGCTTGTGGCTGAGGCGACGCCTCAGCCATTTGGTCGAGGCGTCGCCTCGGCCTATGGCTGAGGCGCGACCTCAGCCATCTGGCCGAGGCGTGCGCCTTGGCCTGCGGCTGAGGCGCTGCCTCAGCCATCTGGCCGAGGCGAGTGCCTTAGCCTGTAGCCGAGACGTTGCCTCAGCCGTTTTTTTTTTTGTTTTTTTTTAATACGCTCCTTTCTTGACAGGCAATTTTGTACCCAAGTCTTGCGAGCTTATCTGTAACCGAGGTGAGGTTAGTGTGTTTTTGCTTATAATGGATATCACGTCTTTGATTGATGTCGGAGAACTTGAATTTGATGGTGATGATGAGGAGTACCTTCCGGAGCATGATTCCTCTCTTTTTGCAAATTTTTCCCCTCTTCCGTTTGTTGTTTAAAGCTATGTTGAATCATTTCATCATTCAATAATTTCATAATTCCAAAGAAGCTGAGCTGAGGTGCTTAAATGTTCCGTGGTGATTTTATGGGGTCTGGAAAGAATGATCTTCACCCACAGTATTTGAAAATTTTGACTAGCGTGGTCTGAAAAATAAATTCGTGAAAAATACTTGTTGAACTCCTTTTGGTGTGAAATTTTTTCTGGAGAACCTAGACTTGTGATCTTTGATGTCTGTAAAAATATTTTGTTAAAAATATGTTTTGGTTGTTCCAGAAAAATTCTGGCAGTGTGCTGCCAGTTATTTTTCTGTCTGGCGCAGTGTTGGAAAATATTTTGGGAAAAATACTTCTAGACCTTGGATTGTCATGAAAATTTTCATGTACGTTCTAGACTTGCTGAACTAAATATCTGCAAAATTTTGTGCCAAAATGTGTTACCTTTTTTCCCCAGAAAATAATGCAATCCAGGTCAAAATTCTGAATTTTTCTGCCAACTTTCAGTTTAGCTTGTATATCTTGCTATTTTGTGATGTTTTCATGCTTGTATGAAACTATGAGATAAAATGAGAGCTTGCTTGGAAAAGTGCTGTTTTTTACTCCCCGAAATAGGAATGAATGGGCCCAGCAACTAACATCTGCTCGTTACCCTTCGGCGAACGGTACTTCTCTCATTTTATTTTCTAATATATGAATTAATAGAATATCTCTTGTCATGTCATGTCTTGCGTGTATCAAACATGATACCCTTTATTTAAAATGGATGTGCATGATTTAATTGAGATTTTGGTGTCCAAGACATAAGGGACAATTATATCACATATTGAATATCCTTCTCTTTAATTGACAACATTTAGCATATAATCTCTTGATTAG